CCAAAATCCAGTGGGGCAATCTTAAAGCTCCAAAATGATCTCCTTTGACATCATGTCACACATTGAGCTCACAGTAATGCAAGTGGTGGGCTCCCATGGCCTTGGGCATCTCCACCCCTGTGGCTTTGCAGGGTACAGCCTCTCCCCTGGCTGCCTTCACAGGCTGGTTTTGAGTGTCTGTGGCTTTTCCAGGTGCACAGCGCAAGCTGTCAGTAGATCTACTATTCTGGGGTCTGGTGGATGGTGGCCCTCTCTATTCACAGTTTCATTAGGCAGTGCTCCAATGGGGAGTCTGTGTTGGGGCTCCAGCCCCACATTTCCCTTCTGCACTACCCTAGCCAAGGTTCTCCTTGAAGGCTCCACCCCTGCAACAAACTTCTCTATGGACATCCAGGCATTTCCATACATCCTCTGAAATCTAGGCAGAGGTTCTCAAACTTCAGTTCTTGGCTTCTGTGCACCCACAAACTCAACACCATGTGGAAGCTGCCAAGGCTTGGGGCTTGCACCTTCTGAAGCCATGGTGCAAGCTGTACCTTAGCCCCTTTTCTCCATGGCTGGGATGCAGGGCATCAAGTCCTGAGACTGCACAAAGCAGCAAGGCCCTAGGCCTGGCCCCTGAAACCATTTTTCCTCCTGGGCCTCTGGGCCTGTGATGGGAGGGCCTTCCGTGAAGACCTCTGAAGTCCCCTGGAGTCACTGCCTTGATTAACATTTCACTCCTTGTTACTTATGCAAATTTATGCAGCTGTCTTGAATTTTTTCCTCAGAACATAGGTTTTTCTTTTCTATCACATCATCAGGCTGCAAATTTGCCAAACTTTTACTCTGTAATTCTTCTTGAATGCTTTGTCACTTAGAAATTTTCTTCTGCCTGTTACCGCAAATCATCTCTGTCAGGTTCAAAGTTTCACAGATCCCTAGGACAGGGGCAAAAATCCACCAGTCTCTTTGCTAAAGCACAGGAAGAGTCATCTTTGCTCCATTTTCCAACAAGTTCCTCAACTCCATCAGAGATCCCCTCAGCCGGGACTTCACTGGTCATATTACTATCGTATTTTGGTGAAAGCCATTCAACAAGTCTCTGGGAAGTTCTAAACTTTCCCACATATTTTTGTCTTCTGAGCCCTCCAAATCTCTGAGAAGTTTCAAACTTTCTCACCATTTCCCTGTCTTCTTTTGAGCCTTCCAAACTGTTCCAGCCTCTGCCTGTTATCCAGTTCCAAAGTCACTTCCACATTTTTGGGTATCCTTATAGCAGCACCCCAGTCCTGTTACCAATTTACTTTATTAGTCAGTTCTCACACTGCTATGAAGAACTGCCCAAGACTGAGTAATTTGTAAATGAAAGAGGTTTAATTGACTCACCGTTCTGCATGGCTAGGGAGGATTCATGTAACTTACAATCATAGCAGAAGGGGAAGCAAACATGTCCTTCTTCACATGGGGAAGGGAAGGAGAAGTGCTGAGCAAAGAGGGAAATGCCCCTTTAAAACCATAAGCTCTTGTGAGAACTCACTCACTTTCTCATGAGTCTCTCCTATGACACAGAGATTATGGGAACTACAATTCAGGATGAGATTTGGGTGGGACACAGTCAAACCATATCATCTAGGCTAGTATCAAAATCCTGGGCTCAAGTAATCCACCCACCTTGGCCTACCAAAGAGCTGGAATTACAGGCATGAGCCACCATATCCAGCTGGTCTTTATTTCTTTTGATTTTAATCATCCATTGGTTCTGCTTCTCTAGAGAACCCTAACTAATAGATAATTGGCATGAAGTGATACCTCATTGTTGTTTTGATATCTCATTTGTGTTTATATTTCTTTGATGGATGACTTGGGTTTTTTTAAAAACTTTTGGGCAATTATTATTACTAGTGTTTATACTTCTTCAGTAAAAATATTAGAAACAATTTTTAAAGGCAGAATGTAACTAGTTTCCTATAGGTATGTAACCATCATGGACCTTCCCTCAAGTGTTTAGCCGTTGGTGTTACTCATGTCACTCCAAATGTCAGCTTGTTTTCTTCCATTTTACTGTCTCTTTGTGTCCCAAATCTGAATTCATGGGAAAAAAATCCGGTGCTTGATATGGTTTGGATATTTGTCCCCTCCAAATCTCACGTTAAAATGTGACCTCTGGTGTTGCAATTAGGGACTAATTGGGGTTGTTTGGGTCACAGGAGTGGATCCTTCATTAATGGCTTGGTGATAAGTGAACTCTATTAGTTCATGAGAGCCGGTTGTTTATAAGAGTCTGGCACCTCATTTTACTTGTCCTTCTCTCACTGTCTGACACACTTGCTCCCCCTTTGCCTTTAGCCATGAGTAAAAGCTTCCTGAGGTTTCACCAGAAGCTAAGCAGATTTTGGTGCCATGCTGTAGAACTTATGACCCAAATAAGCCTCATAAATTACTCAGTCTTGGGTGTTTGTTTAAAACAAGACTAAATGGTAACACAGTGCTGATTGAAACAGCTGTGATGGGTCATCAGGGCATAAGAGAGGAGTCACTGGGTTGTAATAAAGTCTCCTACTTACACCTGTTCCGTAGAAGCTCTAGATAGGAAGTTGCTGGAGCAGGCATTCCCTCTGAAACGTGTGTTTCACATATATCATAATTATCTTCTGCTATCAAGTAAAAACCCATTTTGCTTTTAGACTTTCATCTCTATCTCATTTCCCTTGTTTCCTCTCATTTTTTTATCTCTAGGTTTCTTTCTCCACAATTAATGAGAAGTTGGCATGCTTCACTCCAGTTCTTCTTTGTCTTTGTAACTTGCTTCTCTGCTGAATGACTCTTATGGTTTGTAATCATTGGCTCATTTGTATAGCTCAGTGGTTAGGAGTACAGTTCAGAGTTAGAATGCCTGGGTTGAAACACTTAATTCTACTCTACTTACTAGCCTTGTGACCTATAACAAAATTCTCAGACTCTCTTTGTCTGTAAAATGGAGAGTATAGTAAATACATGGGCTTGTTTTAAGGATTAAATGAGTTAACATGTGAAATACTTAGAACAATGCCTGGCAAATGCTCAGTGAATATTTGCTATTGCTTGCTTTCGTTTGGTGCCTGTTCTTCCCACTGAGGGCACAGAGCATATGTATCTGGCTAATGGTTCTTTGTCCACCACATTGCAATAATGGACTCTCAGAAAATATTGAAGAATCTGTTAAAGAATGAATAGAATTATCCTAGTGAAAAGGGTGGGTGGGAGGTAGTTAGGGGAAAGGGCACAGATAGCACTGGAACCAGCACGTATAGGGAATGGGTCATACAGTGTTTCTTGGTACTCTAGACTATAGTGGGCCACCTCTTAGCTAGTGGTCTCTGCATTATTTCAGCAATCTGTTGGAAACAGCCATGGATATGATAATAATGACCCATTTGTGGGTTCTAAGAAAAAGGACAACTACAGTACTAGAAAAGATCATATGTAAGTCAAGAGGTGAGATGATTATTTGTTTTAAACTGTTCTAAAATTCTTATTTAGGATAGTGGGGGCAAACATTAACTTTAGAATTTGTTATGTATATGATAAAATTTCAAGGTAAAGCACTGAAATTATAGTAGTTGAGTATATAACTTCCAAACTATGGAGGAAAGGAATGGAATGAGAAAATAGATACATAAACATAAGATTCAAACAATCCAGTGAAGAGGAGAGGGAAAAACATAGAAAGAATGAGATAATTAGAAAGCAGTAGGTAATGTGGGAGAAATAAATTGAAGCACAGTAAAGCTCCACTAAAATGTACCTTGCAGTAATGTTGGGACATGATTTCCCTTCGTCTCCATTCTCACATGGAGTGGGCTAAGTAACATTTTTATCCAGTTTCCCTGGGGGTTTTAGGTCGGTGGAGAGTAAGTTAGAAGATAATCACCTTCTGATCAGTTGAGACTTTCTCAGTTTAGTCTTCAGTTAATAAAAATTAATGTAAACTTCATCAGAAGACAGAGATTATCAGATGAAAGGACAAGCAAATTAAAGTCTTACTAACCGAAAAAAAAATCTGGGGTAGCTATCGTTAATATCAGCTACAGGGTAGCTATGTTAATATCAACTATGTTAATATTAATTATTAATAGTCTATTAATAGATTATATGGCAAAATAATTAATACAAATAGAGTGTCACCACATTTTAAAATTCACTATGAAGACATAAGATTTTTAAGCTGGTTGATAAAATTCTGGGGAACACAAATTATAGAATAAAATTTGTAGGATGCACCAAAACATGTTTTTAGAGACATCCGTTAATTAAGCAAATAAATGAGCACCTTCTTTGTGCCAGTCACTGGAAGAGGTGGCCTAAAGAAGAGAATAAAACAGTCAAAATCCTGGCACATTCAGAGTTTCTCTTAGGAGAAAACAGATACAAATGACGTTATTACCAAGACACTTGTGAAACAAGCCAAATATTAATAATAAATATTTAAGACTACAATATGTTAATTTTAAGATTGAAAATGAGGTATGAGGATTTCTTAAAACTCAAAGTCTCAGTCACTGAGAGTTAGATTTTTTACAATCACTGTTAATTTTTCTAACTTGGAGGAAGTGTATAGCATGTTTAGAATATATTTCAAGACTGCATTCAAATGTTGCAACAGAACATTAAGAATTATCTTCTTGATCCACTAAGTACAGGAAATAAAATGGATAATCCCCCATTTATTACCACCTTTCAAGATTTTATCTTTCAGTTTTTGTGTTTTGTAGCTCATTGACAGAGTTTGAGAGTGCTGAAAGTACTCTTTAGTGAGCTGGCTGTAATTTGGGGGGTCCATTTTTATCTAAATAATTAAAACTATCTGACAGGACCATATGCTTGCTGCCATTTCCAATAAACTATACTTGTAAATGGGGTTTTTAATTTAATAAGAATATTAAGTTAGAAAAGAAACTGTCATTCTGTGAAGCGGCCAATAATGTTAGTTTTATTTATCAGTTTAGTTTCATTCTTTGATCATTTTCAAACATTTTCAGCATTGATGCAGATGGGACAATGACAGTGGACTGGACTGAATGGAGAGACTACTTCTTATTTAATCCCGCTACAGACATTGAGGAAATTATCCGTTTCTGGAAACATTCCACAGTAAGTATACTTCCTGTATTTATACTTATTTGGAGCTATAAACCACAGGTACAGTTGTCAGCCAAGAACACTGTAACACTTACAGGCCAGGCTACCTGAGTCCCAATAGCTCCTTAACCCGCAGAGTCTAATTTATTCTGCTAGGCATAGATTTATAGAGTATTAAAACAACAACAATAGCACCCAAGACTGCATAAGTGTTCATCCTGACAACTTGGAAGAAGTACCATCTTGATGAATATGCTATCTAGCTTTTATTGGCATTCAAGTTTCTGCCATAGGGAAGTGTAAAAGTTGCAGGCTTTTGCTTTTTATAGATACTATATTACCCAAATAATCTCAGCACCTCATGGTTGCTAAGAATCTGTTTCCTTGTTTGGTCAGATTGCCTAGGTTTATCTCTGGCATAAGGCATTTAAAATAATCATGAAGGTTACAGAATCTTTTTGCTTCATGTGCTTAGCTTAGATGGCATTTCATACCAGTTTGTTTTCTACAAAACTTCCAAATTTTGATTGTTTCATGAATATTCTGCATACTGGTGTAAACCAAGTTCTATTATTGTGCAATCTACTTCTGAAACCAGTGGGAACTCTCTGAAGGAGGTTTATTTTCTTCCCCCTTAATAGGTTTATCTTCAATGCTTATTCATGGATTTTGCTAAATTAAATATGCATTAAATGAAGCAGTTCACATTGCCACTAGTAACAATACCTAAGCTTACATAAAGCATTATAAAATTGTTGCTGGTGAGTAGTGCCTTCTCAACTATGAGTATAGAATAATACTATACTAGTTCAGTTGCCACGATAAATTTTACACTAAGTGAAGTTTTATTTACGTGATTCTTACTGTATTTTTTAAGGTAGTTGCTAACAGTTGAGGCTACAGTCATATCTCCATTTTATTGATAGTAAAATGAAGGAAGAGATGGTTACTACCATAGGATAGCTCCTTCCCCTTGCACTTTTGCCTGTAAAATTTTTTATGCCAAAACAATTTAGAGAATAGAGTTGTAAAAATATTATTATAGAGTTATTTCTCTCAAGCTATAGTACTGTAGAATAGGTTGAAGGGGTGATGATTTCAAACAATACCTCTCCATTAGCTAAATTTTATATAGAATCTATTGTATGTTTTAAATGACAAGTCAGATTTATACAAATATTTTTATAAACAGTAGGTCATGAGCTTAGGGTTGTTCACATACACAGTTTTAATTTACATATTTAGAACATATCATGGTATAAAGTATAATATAAATATAAATTTGAGATAAAGGAAGTATTATTTGAGAATTGATGAACTAAATTTATTAAAAGATGTTATCACCAATTGGATATGGTTTTCTAGCCTTATGAAAAGGCTAGAAAAAAGTTTGACAGTAAAAAAGATTGACTATACCTGACAGAACACTGCCCTTTCATTCTGACCTAGACCAAGAGAAGCAAAGTTACTATGAATCCATGAAGAAAGAAAGTTGTAATTGTTGGTTTTGTATATTTGTAATTACTGTTTATTTCCATTTCTTGTGAACTGACACTGTACTTCATTTGTTGTGAATAGACTACTTATAATCTATGTGCTCAAACTGGTTTAGTATAAATTCTAGGGAGAAAAATTCATATTAACTGTAAAATAACATATGATTCTTCTCTAAAACAAAAACATCTTCTGGCATTATATATTTTTAACTAAGAAGCATGGGGATCTTTTTTTCATTTTAACAGGGAATTGACATAGGGGATAGCTTAACCATTCCAGATGAATTCACGGAAGATGAAAAAAAATCCGGACAGTGGTGGCGGCAGCTTTTGGCAGGAGGCATTGCTGGTGCTGTCTCTCGAACAAGCACTGCCCCTTTGGACCGTCTGAAAATTATGATGCAGGTGAGCTTTATTATTGTGTGTCCAGGTTTGCCCTAAATAGTCTAAAACAATGAGAAATAGAGTGCTTTGAAATATAAGTTTTAAAATTTTTCAGTAATAATCTTTTATACCCTAAAATGTATATCTATTTTGTTAGTTTTAACTCTAAATTCAGTCCTTGAGAGTATGGCAGTGTACCAAACTTTAAATTGTTAATACATGTGTATAATGAATTTTTAATCTTTGAGATTCTCTGACTATTCAAACGTTGAATTTTAGAAACATCTCTAGCCATTATTGTAGGATTCTCCTTATTTATAGTTCCCTTCTTTCTTATATACTTTACCAAAAGTAAAGTATGTCTGAAATCTAGAATCGTAGAGCAGCAATGTAATTTCAAAAATTATTCTAAAGCTGAGTTTAGCAGAAAAAGATCTGACTTTGTAGACTGACTTTGCTATTTACTAGCAATGTAGCCTTAGGCTGACCACAGTGGAAAGAGGGAAAGGAAAAGAATTAATATGTATTTGCTCATTGCGGTAACCCAGCTAATCCTTGCAGCAGCCCAGTGAAGCAGGCATTTTATCATTTTTCCAGGGGGAGCCTGAGCCCAGAGAATTAACTTTTCCTTTACAACAAATAAGAGGAGGAATGGAGTATCTTTGCCTCCACTGCTCCTGGTTTTTATGCTGCTTGAAACCTCTGAGGTCTCATTTTCCTTCATTCTGGAATGGGGATAAGAATATCTAAGAAGAATGGCTGTAAGAATCTAACAATAGGGCCGGGAGTGGTGGCTCACACCTGTAATCCCAGCACTTTGGAAGGCTGAGGCGGGTGGATCACGAGGTCGAGAGATCGAGACCATCCTGGTCAACATGGTGAAACCCTGTCTCTACTAAAAATATAAAAAATTAGCTGGGCATGGTGGTGCGTGCCTGTAATCCCAGCTACTCAGGAGGCTGTGGCAGGAGAATTGCCTGAACCCAGGAGGCGGAGGCTGTGGTGAGCCGAGATGGCGCCATTGCACTCCAGCCTGGGTAACAAGAGCGAAACTCCGTTTCAAAAAAAAAAAGAATCAAACAATATAAGGTATGTGAAAATGCCTGGCACACTGGAATATGCTTTTGGAACATAGTAGTTGTTTACAAAATATTTTTAAAAGTTTGTTATACCTTTGGTCAGCACTCTCAGTATTTGTCCACAGATTTCTGTACAAAAAGATTTCTGACGTTATTTTAAGCTAGCATTCCTTCAGAATGTACCCAAATCACAAAACGTATTCAGGGGAAAAGCTAATGCTTTAAAGAAAAAGAGAGGATTGGTGTGTGTTTTTCTTTAGGAATAGTAGTAACTTGACTTTTAGAGAACTTAAATAAGTGTTCGTTTTTTTCCTTTGTCCTATTTTATTGTGAAGTTCATTTATTTAAAATAAACTGGATTTCTCTGGAATTTCGTTTCTGCAAATTTAAAAAGTTTCCAAAGTCAACCTTCAGGTTCGATACTTCTCTAGGACTCCCAGAACTCACTAAAAGCTTATTACCCCTGGTAATGGTTTATTACAGGGAAAAGATATGGATGAAAGTCAGTTAAGTAAAGAAGCACATAGGGGTGGAGCTTCAGTTGTCCTCTCCCTGTGAAGTCCCCATGTCTTACTTTCCTGGCACTGTTGTGTGGCACTAGGCACAGAGTGTTGCAGACCAACCAGGGAAGCTCACCTGAGACTTTGGTGCTCAGCGTTCTTAGTGGGGTCCATTTTCATACTGGCCACATGGCTGGCCTTCAGGATTCAGCCCCTTCTGTGAGTGCCTCTGTCTGTGTGTGTGTGTGTGTGTGTGTGTGTGTGTGTGTGTGTGTTGAGTGGTGTCACTCCTTTTATGCTAGCTGAAACAATCAGAGGAATACCTGATTTATTTGATTATTTTGGGTGTATTAGATTTAATCAGTTTTTATCTGTAGGTGGTCATAAGGTACAGTATTTTTAAATGGCTACCACATTTGTAGTATAAGTCAAGTATTTTATCAGTACTCACAGGATTGGTACATGTTGTAATGAATTTATTACCTAGAGATGCCTCAAAATATGCCAAAGAAGGTGCGATTTTTATTTTTGGTTTCGGGCTGTATGTATTCCAGTGTTTTTAGCTCTGATATACACAATGTCCAAACCATTTCAGACTCATTTACAGTTCATGTCTGTACTACTACTTCTTAATACCTTACTCCCTCTCCTCAAGAATATAAACCGTATTACCTGCAGTATATATAATATAATGTAATAATATATTATTACCTACAGTATACATTTTATTTCTCTTTAACTGAGCTTGTTCATATTTCAGAGGTGTTCCATTGTCTGATATGTATCAGACAATGGTGCATATTAATGATACAATTTAGTTAATCTTATCTTAGGAATGTTGTTCATAATTTTAATTATCTTTTTGTCTTCTCTGTCTGCTTTCTCACACTGAAGATACCAATTATTCTTAGTTTTAGAGCTGAGACAGACCTCTAAAATCATAACAATACTCCCTTCCATCATTATATATATATTTTCAACCTTTCTATATTTTAATTTCAAATATACTTGCAGTTAGGAATAGTATTGAAAAAGATGGTGTGGTTACTTTAGAAAAAGTAATAGTAATATGCCACCAGTATTTTATATCATTCTGCTTTCATTTTTTAGGTTCATGGTTCAAAATCAGACAAAATGAACATATTTGGTGGCTTTCGACAGATGGTAAAAGAAGGAGGTATCCGCTCCCTTTGGAGAGGAAATGGTACCAATGTCATCAAAATTGCTCCCGAGACAGCTGTTAAGTTCTGGGCATATGAACAGGTAATTGTTACCATCTATGGAATTTATTCACAGAGAGGAGTTAGTAAATGGATTCAGTAAATGTTAATGTATACTGCTTTTGGGATTCTTGTTTTGATAGATGATTATTTTTCACGTATACTCTATAAGGAATATCACTTATAGGAGATTAGACTAAATAAAGTCAGAGATTTCTCATGACCAAGTTATGGGATTCTTAATTCATCATATTATTTATAAAGAAAGTCTTTTTTTGTTTTTTTTTTTTCTAAGTAGTTCTTAAAGGAAGGGTAACAGTTTATTCATTCTGAATTCTGAGCAGAAGCAGCACACTAACTAAGTTTTATGAAAGTGTCTCACTCTGACCTCTGGAAGGAAAACTTATCCATTGAAGTCCTTTGTGTAGTTAGTTTGACATTGCTGTAAATTTGAGCTGGGTTTAGAGTGACAGCTCCGTGAAGGCAGGGGCATGGCTTCTTCCCCATGTACTCCAGCACCTAGACAGAGCTTGGGATGTAGTAAGTGGCAAGTGAGTACTGAATGAGTGAATGAGTGAATAAATACATTTACCTTTGAATCACTTCTCTGCTGACTTTTGTCAACTTGGATGATCTGAGCCATTGCTTCTGCCTGACTCAATGTAAAGAGGAAGTACAGAGGTAAATTGTAGAGGTTGGGTTCTCTTTATGGTCATTAGTAGAACTGTCTAGGTCTGTGAGCAGCCACAGATTATTTTTTCCATTATTTATTCCATTGTTTTTTATCAAAGACTGTAAGGGCTTTGAAATTCACCTCCCCCCCCATGGTTTTTGTATTATTTCATGTTGATTTTAGATTATTCTGGAGAGTGTTTTGTTCTTGAGCAACAGAATACTCTTGAGAAGGTTACAGAGTATAGTGCTATCCTTTTCTTGGCCTAGGAAATAGAGAAGCGAAGAAAAAAATTAAAGAAAACCTAGCTTCCAGGACTTTAATTAGAACCTGTCTTTGGGAGGGTTATTTTCCTTATGTGAATATTTGAAGATTCAAATAATGATTATTAAGGGTTAATGTTTGAGATACCCTTAGGTTATTCTGACCACATACTTGGATTTTATGATAGGAAAGCAAGAGCCTAAAATAAACAAATACTCAAAAATAATGCAGTTATTTCAGTATGTAAGAAGTTTGGTGTTTTTGAAAGTCCATGGATATTCCAAGCAAATATGCACATTTTACTCTATATCATTTGTCAGATTCTTACCTTGGACACCACAGCCAGGCATCTGTCCACCCAAGCTCCTTCCTGAGAACTCATTATAGTATTCTGATTTCTGCACACTAACTTTCTTGGGACATCAAGAGAAAGCTGTCTGCACAGTGTGGTGTAGTGTTCTTACGGGCTCTGGGCCTGTGATAGTGGATGGTATTTTCTCTTCTGCTGAAGGTCCATTCTTCCCTTGGGGCTCTCTAAAAGCCATGAGAAGCGTATCCTAAGCATCTCAACCAAAACCAGTTCCTCCCCTGTCCAGCCTCCCTCAAGTGCTGAATTGCAGAATATCCCATTTTTCACTGGATAATCCCAGTTGGTTCTAAATTACTTTAAAATATACAGTATATATTCTCAAATTTTCCATCGTATGTAGCTAGCTCACTTCTCGGTTCAGTTAGGTTTTGTTCATTGAATGGCTAGCACTTTAGGAAACTAAGAAAGGATCTTTTCAGCCTGGTGGTTCTGTCAAACACATCAGTTTGGTAAAGCTGTGTTCTATGTGGGTTGTCATTACCTTAGTACTGTCATGGTATCATTGACAGGGTGGTAGTGTGGGGTAGTGTTTCTTGTGGTTTCAGCTACCATCTCTGTACTGACTGCCTTCCACTTCAACATCTTTCTCTTTATCGCAGCACCGTAGATTGACCGGTGTGATGCATGTGTCGGCATTTCTGCTTGCATGTCCCAGGAGTGCCTCCCACTCAGCATGTCCACCATGCACAGTCATCTTTCTACTATTCCCTGTCTCCTTACCCTGCTCCAGTAACACACACACACACGCGCGCGCACCCTTCCTCTTTCTATATGTCATGGTGGGGAATGCCCTTTAGTACCTTACTCAGGAGTTAGTTCCTCCGAAAGCCTTCTGTTCTGGTTTCCTTTTCTTACAGCACTTTCACAGGGAATTCTGGCGTTCTCCGTACTTATCTCCTTTATGAGGCTGTGAGCTTTCTTAGGCAATAGCTACTTGTATTCCTAGCACCTTGCCCAGTGCCAGGAAATCCTTCTTAAGTGAATTTAAAAGACAGAACTGCCAGACTGGAATTTGAACTCAAGCTTGCTTCAATCTCAAGCCATTAAGATGAAGTGGGAGCCAGGCATGGTGGCTCACACCTCTAATCCCAGCACTTTGGGAAGTAGATCACTTGAGCCCAAGAGTTCAAGACCAGCCTGGGCAACATGGCAAAACCCCATTTCTACAAAATATATAAAAATTAGTTGGACATGGGGGTGTGTGCCTATACTGGGGAGGCTGAGGTGGGAGGATCACTTGAGCTTGAGAGGCAAAAGTTTCAGTGAGCTGAGGTCACACCATTGCACTCTAGCCTGGATGACACAGTGAGACCCTATCTAAAAAAAAAAGAAAGAAAAGAAAGGGGAAGATAAGGATTGGAGATAGAAGGAGCAGCATGTGGACAGAAATGTAGGCACAAGAAGGCATCACTCACGGAAGAGACTGAAAGTGGTTCTCTATGCCTCAAGAGTGATGGAGTGTGTTTTGGGAAAGGTAATGAAAGATAAGCAGGGGCCAAATGTAATAGGAACTTGGATATATATGGTAGGGGCTATTGTAGCATCTTATAAAGGGAAGTGAATGAGTATATTCACATTTAAGGAATATCAACCTGAAAAAAGAATGGAGAAGTTGGTGGGGGAGAGTGAGGCTAGACTAGAGGCAGGGAGAATATTTAAATAATTCGGGTAAGAAATGATGAACATCAGCATAAGTTGATGCCTTTAAGGAATAGAGAAGGGAATGAAGTGAGACATATTTGGGAATTGAATCAAGAACTCACTGACTGGATATGGAGGTGAGAAAGAGAGGAGTCAAGGACGATATCTAGTTTCTAACTTGAGCGACTGTATACATAGAGAATACAATATCAGATGAGTTTGAGATATATGGGACACATACAGGGAACTGTCCAGTCAGCAACTGGACATATCACCTAGCAATTAAGAGAGAGAGAGAGATCTTTGATAGAGAGGTTGTTCCTGAGTTGAGCCATCGGAATGGGCAGGATCACTTAAGAAGAGCTTATAAATAAGAAGAATTCTAGGAATAAGTCCAAAGGGAGAGATGAAAGAAGAAACTTGCAAAGGAGACTGAGAAGAAATAGCTTAAGGGATGGGAGGAAATCCAGAGAGAGGGATGGCCTAGGAGTCAGTGGAAGAAAATGGTTTCATGGGGGTCAGTGCTACTGGGTAGTGAATATAATAAGAGTACCTTTTAAGATTTCTCAACACAGAGATAGATAAGCTTAGCATAAATGCTTCCATGAAGTAATGAAATGAGAAGCCATACTGAAATGCGCTTAAAGTGAATGGGAGGTGATGAAACTTGGACAGTGGAGATACATTTTTAGGGAGTTTGACTGTGAAGGGACGGGAACTAGAAGAGGGAGAGGGTGATAGAAAAGAAGGATGTTGGGTGGAGGGAGGGAGGATTTGTTTTTTGGGTTTTGTTTGTTTTTGAGATAGAGTCTTGCTCTGTCACCCAGGCTGGAGTGCAGTGGTGCAGTCTTGGCTCACTGCAACCTCTACCTCCCAGGTTCAAGTAATTCTTCTGCCTCAACCTCCTGAGTAGTTGGGATTACAGGTGCACACCACCACACCCAACCAATTTTTGTATTTTTAGTAGAGACGGGGTTTTGCCATATTGGTCGGGCTGGTCTCAAACTCCTGACCTGAAGTGGTCCGCCTGCTTCACCCTCCCAAAGTGCTGGGATTACAGGAGTGAGCCACCGTGCCCAGCCTGGAGGGAGGATTTTGATTTGACTTTAATGTATCGATTGCTGAAGGAAGCATGTCAATCCAAAGAAAGAAGTTGAAAACATAGGTAAGAGAGGTTGATTAACCCAGCAGGTGTTCTGAGGGAGGTTGTGTGTAGGGAAAGGGTGTGGCAGTTGGAAAGGGGCTGGGGGAGATAGGTTCTATCCAGAGACTGTTAAAAGGACTAGCGGGGGTTCTCTCCTCAGCTTGTAGACAGCCAGTATGTGCTCACATGGCCTTTTCTTGGTGCACATGAGATGGGGGAGAGAGAGCAAGCTCTCTGGTGTCTGCTCTTATAAGAACACTGATCCTGTCATGAGGGCTCCATCCTGATGACCTCGTAAACCCAATGACCTTCAAAAGCCTCATTCCCTAATACCATCAGATGGGAGGTTGGGGCTTCAACATAGGAATTTGGTGGGGATGCAGCTCAGTTCGTGGCAGGTAGTGATGTACATTTTAAAACTTATTTATACAGTATAAGAAGTTACTTACTGAAGAAGGACAAAAAGTTGGAACATTTGAGAGATTTATTTCTGGTTCCATGGCCGGAGCAACTGCACAGACTTTTATATATCCAATGGAGGTGAGTACCATTGTGAAGTCTGACTGTGTGACGTTGTTTGTGTTGGTTGTCTTGCTGTGCAACAAGTTATCTTGAAATTCACAGTTTAAGACAAGCATTTATTATTGGGCAGTTTCTGTGGGTCGGGAATCTGGGAGAAGCTTAGCTGGATGTCTCTGGCTCAGGGTTTTTCACAGCCCACAGTTAAGGTGGCAATCAGTGCTGCAGTCACTCTGAGGCTTGGGTTGGGATGGAATCCAAGCTCACTCATGTGGTTATTGCCAGGTCTCACTGGGTATTGGCTGGAAACATCATTTCCTTATCACATGAGCCTTTCTTTAGGCTGCTTGAGTATCCTCAAAACACAGTAGCTGTCTTCCCTATAGTCACTGATCCAACAGAGAGAGAGAGAGAGAGCATACCCAAGACGAAAGCTGATATATTTTGCCTTCTCTGCTGTATTCCACTGGTCACATGGACCAACCCTGATAGAGGGTGGCCTCTCACTGCATAATGGTGTGAGTACCAGAAGACAAGTATCACTGGCGAGGCTGGCTGCCACTGTGTTTGTGAGAATTATAATTCTCATTCCTTTCCAAAGAGTTTATGTACCTTAAATTTCATAATGGAATCTCAGGATTTGATTATATGGTGGTTATCCTAACTAGACATCCTTTCATTAGTACATAAGTTGGCAAACTGGCAAACTACAGACCTGCAGACTGTTTCATACAGCCCTTGAGTTAAGAATGGTTTTTACATTTTAAAAAGTGGGCAACACAGGAGAAAGTGGGAAAAGGTCTAAAATCAACACCCTAAAATCACAATTAAAAGAACTAGAGAAGCAACAGCAAACAAATTCAAAAGCTAGCAGAAGACAAGAAATAACTAAGATCAGAGAAGAACTGAAGGAGATAAAGACACGAAAAAGCCTTCAAAAAATCAGTGAACCCAGGAGCTGGTTTTTTGAAAAGATTAACAAAATAGATAGACTGTTAGCCAGATTAATGAAAAAGAAAAGAGAGAATAATAAAATAGACACAATAAAGAATGATAAAGGAATATCACCATTGATCCCACAGAAATGCAAACTACCATCAGATAATACTATGGGTACCTCTACACAAACTAGAAAATCTAGAAGAGGCGGAGTCAAGATGGCCGAATAGACACAACTCCCGTGCACAACACCCAGCGAGAGAGACACAGAAATGGAGAGATCTCCTAGCTGCAACTGAGGTACAAGGTGCATTTCAATGGGTCTGGTCGGACAGTGAGCAAAGCCCAGGCAGGGCAGACTGAGGTAGGGAGGAGTGCCGCTTCACCCAGAAAGTGCATCTGACCAGTGAGTTGGAGGCTGTCTCTCTGGCACTCTGGTCCAGATACAGCGCTTACCCCAAAGCCTCAACTATACACGGAACAGGGGATCTTTGCCAGTCAAGCGCTGGGAATTACAAGTGCAGAGTTGAATAATAATCTAGGACGATGTCCCTGACTGGTGCACAGATCTAAGCAAAGGTATAAGCCCATAAACCAGCTGGGAGAGCCTGCAGACTGAGCTATCACCCCCTCCCGCTGCCTGGAGAGAGAGGGAGCTAAAAGCTGAAAGACAGACAGTGGGACTGGGTGGGTCCTTACCCACCCCAACAAACCACAGAGGGCTGAAGCACTAACTCCAGCAGGTTACACAGCCAGTGCCTCAGTCTAAGCTGAACCCTGAATAATCCAGCCCTGTGGAGTAAAGACACAACCCACTATTGACCATACTGCCCAAAGTAAATTACAGATTCAGTGCTATCCTTATCAAGCTACCATTGACTTTCTTCACAGAATTAGAAAAAACTACTTTAAATTTCATATGAAACCAGAAACGAACCCACATAGCCAAGACAATCCTAAGCAATAAGATCGAAGCTGGAGGCATCATGCTACCTGACTGCAAACTATACTACAAGGCTACAGTAACCAAAACAGCATGGTACTGGTACCAAAACAGAGATGTAGACCAGTGGAACAGATCAGAGGCCTCAGAAATAATGCCACACATCCACAATCATCTGACCTTTGACAAACCTGACAAAAACAAGCAATGGGGAAAGGATTCCCTATTTAATAAATTGTGTTGGGAAAACTGAATAGCCATATGCAGAAGACTGAAACTGGACCCCTTCCTTACACCTTACACAAAAATTAACTCAGGATGGATTAAAGACATATATAAGACCTAAAAGCATAAAAACCCTAGAAGAAAACCTAGACAATACCATTCAGGACATGGGTATGGCCAAAAACTTCATGACTAAAACACCAAAAGTAAAGGCAACAAAAGCCAAAATTGACAAACAAGTTTCAGTTGAACTAAAGAGCTTCTGCACAGCTAAAGAAACTACCTTCAGAGTGAACAGGCAAGCTACAGAATGGGAGAAAAATTTTACGATCTATTCATCTGACAAAGGGCTAATACCCAGAATCTACAAGAAACTTACACAAATTTTTAAGAAAAAAACCCCTCAAAAAGTGGGCAAAGGATAGGAACAGGCACTCCTCAAAAGAAGACATTTATGCAGCCAACAAACATATGAAGAAAAGCTCATCGTCACTGGTCATTAGAGAAATGCAAATCACAAACACAATGAGTTACCATCTCATGCCAGTTAGAATGGTGACCATTAAAAAGAAAACAACAGATGCTAGAGAGGATGTGAAGAAATAGGAATGCTTTTACACTGTTGGTGGGAGTGTAAATTAGTTTAATCATTGTGGAATACAGTGTGGCGATGCCTCAAGGATCCAGAACCAGAAATACTATTTGACACATGATAGGGCATATATCCACAGGATTATAAAACATTCTGCCATAAAGACATATGTACGTGTGTGTTTATTGCAGCACAATTTACAATAGCAAAGACTTGGAACCAATGCAAATGCCCATCAGTGACAGACTGGATAAAGAAAATGTGGCACATATACATATGGCTATGCAGCCATAAAAAGTGATGAGTTCATGTTCTCTTTGGGACATGGATGAAGCTGGAAGCCATCATTCTCAGCAAACTAACACAGGAACAGAAAACCAAACACCACATGTTCTCACTCATAAGTGGAAGCTGAACAATGAAAACACATGGTCAAGGGGAGGGGAACATCACACACTGGGGCCTGTCGGGTGGTGCGGGTCAAGGAGAGGGATAGCATTACGAGAAATAATGTAGACGGCAGGTTGGTGGGTGCAGCAAACCACCATGGCACGTGTATAGCTATGTAACAAGCCTGCACATTCTGCACATGTATCCCAGAACTTGAAGTATAATAATAAAAAAAGTGGGCAAAAACAAAAGAAAAAGAATATACAACAAAGACCTAATATTTTAGGCTTGCAAAGACATATTTTATTATTTGGTCTTTACAGAAAAAGTTTTCTAACCACTGCTTTACAGCAAAAATAGTATTGTAAATGTGGAATTTATTGATATAGCAGAGGGTTTTTTAGTAACCAATAAGACTTAAGCAAGATACATACAACTTTCACCAACGTGTGGTATGCGTGCTAATAGAGCTTTCTTTGCAAGCATCTTAATATAATTGCTTATAGTACTCCACACACCTCTCAAAAAAGTCTTAATACCTATTCTTCCTTTTATATCCTCCGTATCAGTGAATAGTGTCACCTTCCCAACTCTCCACTGCCCATAGTGTGTTTGTACTACCCTTTCCCTCACCTTCCAGACGCAGGTGGTCACCAGTCATTTTTGTTAAGACATCAGTAGATTATCTTGCCTCCGTTTCCTTGGTTACTTTCTTCATCAGATACTCCTTGCAGTAAACGGGTGTCTCTGGCTGCTGTCCTAGCTTCTCAATAGAGGTAATATGTGAGGGAGAATGTATCAACAAATTGTACAGTCAATTGAGTGATGATATGCGCTAGGTATATGTTCTGTATAAAATTACTTCATTTGAATTCTGTGATGATAGAGTTAATATGAATAATAATATTTTGTTATTTTATATCCAGGTTATGAAAACCAGGCTGGCTGTAGGCAAAACTGGGCAATACTCTGGAATATACAATTGTGCCAAGAAGATTTTGAAACATGAAGGTGTGGGAGCTTTTTACAAAGGTTATGTTCCTAATTTATTAGGTATCATACCTTATGCAGGCATAGATCTTGCTGTGTATGAGGTGAGTTTATAGCAATCTCTTGAATCTGAAAAATCAGTTAAATAGCTTCTGTTAGAATTTGACTTTATATGATGAAGTAGATATAAGCCAGGAAACAGTTTGTGAGCAGAAGTAAATTCAACGTGTGTTATTTGAACCTTCAAGTAACTTAAGAGTGAATATGCATCGGGTCATTTTTGTATTAGATTTCCTTGGGAATTGCTTTTGTTAATGAAGAGTAAACTCAAGGTTAGGTAAAATCACCTTAAAAGGTGATTCTAGTGTTTGTTTTCAGGGAAGACACAATAAGCAAATCAGTTCCCTTGTTTTGGATTTGCAAAAATCTGACATTAAGCAAAGTGACTAATGTGACGTGAGTAATACAGTTAGTTACTCATGTGAGTCATACAAGGAATAAAAGAATCCAAATCTTGGATCAACCCTGCCATCTAAATCATTTAATAATTTATGAATCTTACAAACATGTGTTGAGCACACACTATGCAAACCACTGGGTTAGACACTAGATCTAGGGATTCAAAGGACTCAGTATGTGCCTTGAAGAAACTGAAGGTCTGGTGGGGGAGACAAACAGCTAAAACCCGGTGTGGTTAGCTAGGCTGCCATGGACATGAGGCAGGGCACATGCTAGTATGGGACCCGAGCTATGGCATACAGGAAGGGGGAATGTGTAATGAAAAGAAGACTTGACTTTTTTTAAGGAGCTTTATTGAGATTTACTTCATATTGCCTACATTTCACTCATTTGAAATGTATAAGCAAATGGTTCTTGGCTTCTTACATAATTTTTTAAATTATGATAAAATATAAAATTTGCCATTTTACTCACTTTTAAGTGTACAGTTCAGTGGCATTAATTACATTCACAATATTGTGCAGCCCTCGACACTATTTCCAAATCCTTTTGCTCACTCCAAACAGAAACACCTTAACCTTTAAGCAATAATTTCCTATCCTCCCTAACCGAAACCCTTGGTGACCTCTAATCTGCTTTGTGTCTCTAGGAATTTACCCATTCAAGGTATCTTATAAGTAGAAACAGATAATATTTTTCTTTTTGTGTCTGATTTGTTTCTCTTAGCATAATGTCTTTAAGGCTTGTTTATGTTGTGGCATGTGTCAGAACTTCATTTCTTTTAACGGCTGAATCGTACTGCATTGTGTGTGTACACCGTATTTTGTTTAGTCCTTCATCTGTTGAAGAACATTTGGATTGTTTCTACTTTCTGAATGTTGTGAATAATTCTACAGTGAACATTGGCATCTACATATCTGTTGAAGTCTATGCCTTCAGTTCCTCTGGGTATTGAATTCCCTTCCTCGGAGTGGAATTGCTGAGCCATGTGGTCATTCTGTGTTTAGCTTTTAGGAACTATCAGACTGTTTTCCTTAGTGGCTGCACCATTTTATGTTCTCATCAGCAATATACAAAGGTTCCAGTTTTTTCCTGTCCTTACTAACACTTAATTTCCTTTTTAAAAAAGCTTATTTTTATTATAGCTATCCTCTTAGGTGTGAAGTGGTATCATGGTTTAGGACTTTACTTCTTGTACTGAATTTTTTAAAAATTATGATTAAAAACACATAACAAAGTTTATGATTTTAACCATTTAAAAATATATAGTACAGTGGTGTTAACTGTTTGTGGTTTGTTGTGCAACAGACCTCTAGAACTTTTTACCTTGCAAAACTTAAACTCATTAAACAACAGCTCCCAATTTCCCCTTCACCCCAGCACTGTGTAACCTACTTTCTCTATTATAGGTTTGACTACATTAAATACCCCATATAAGTGAAATCGTGTGGTATTTCTGTTTCTGCGACTGGCTTATTTCACGTAACATAATTTCCTCAAGATTCATCCATGTGAGAGCTTGTGACAGGATTTTTTTTCATTTTTAAGGCTGAATAATATTTCATTGGGTATATATATATCACATCTTCTTTATTCATCTGTTGATGGACTTTGGTTGTTTCTGTATCATGGCTATTGTGAATAGTGCTGCAGTGAACACGGTTATGCCAATATCTCTTCAGGATAACTGTTTTCAGTTCTTTTTGACATATACTCAGAAGTGGAATTTCTAGGTCGGATGGTAATTTTATTTTTAAGTTTTTGAGGAACCTCCTTGTCATTTTTCATGGTGAATATACTTTCTTTTTTTTTTTTTTTTTTTTTTTAACATTCCCATCAACGTACACCAAGATTCCAGTTTCTCCACGTCCTCCCCAACACTGCTGAATGGGGTAGTGAAGTCTCCTACTATTACTGTGTTGCTGTTTTTCCTGCCTTCAATTCTATTAATGTTTGCTTCATATATTTAGGAGCTTAATATTAGGGCCACATATAGTTATAATTACTATGTCTTACAGATAAAGTGACCTTTTTATTATTATATCATATCTGTCTTTGTCTCTTGTGACAGTGTGTGTCTTAAAGCCTATTTTTTTCTGATATAAGTGTGGCCACCCCGTTCTCTTTGGGTTCCTGTTTTTATGGAATATCTTTTCAGCTTATATGTGTCCTTAGGTCTAAAGTGAGCCTCATAGACAAGGTATAATGGATTCTGCATGTGTTATTCCTCAGCAATTTGTACTTTTTAATTGGAGGATTTAATCCATTTACATTTAAAGCAATTACTGACAAGGAAGGGGTGACTGTTGTCGTTTGGCTAGCTGCCTTTTAGTTTTGTCCTGTGGCTTTTTTGTCTTTTCTTCCTGGATTTTTTTTTTTTTTGTAGTGTCATGTTTTGATTCCCTTTTCATTTCCATTTGTGTGCATTCTATAGATACTATCTTTGTGGTTACCATTGTAATGGCATAAAACATACCAAAGTTAGAGCCATCTATTTTAAACTGTTTACAACTTATCTTCAGTGGCATATAAAACTGTGCCTTTACATTTTTCACCTCCTCCCTACCAACTTTATGTCTTTAGATGTTGCATATCCTTAACATAGATTTATAGTTACTTTTTATTCTTCTCTTCTTTAACTTCTGTTTAAATATTGGTTTTGAAATTTAGATTTTGAAATTATTTATATACCTTCATTACAATACTATAGAATTTTATAATATTCTAAATATTGACCTTTACCACAGAGCTTCCTGTTTTCATATGGTTTTGTGTTCCTATTTATCAACCTTTTGTTTCTCCTGTTAGCCTTTCTTGTAGGGCCGGTCTAGTGGTGACAAACCACATCAGATTTTGTTTGTCAGGGACAGTCTTAATTTCTCCTTTGTTTTTGAAGGGCAGTTTTGCCCATACAGTATTTTTGTTTGGCGGTTTTTTTGAATTTCAAAACATAGAATATAATAGTCCTCTTTTTTCTAACCTGCAAGATTTCCATTGAGAAATGCACTTAATGGATTTTTTAATACATTGGGATAATTTTTTAATTCTGTCCTGTAGGATTGAAAATTTTTAGTCTTTTTTTTTTTTTGAGATGGAATCTTTATTTTCAGGCTGGAGTGCAGTGGCGCAATCTTGGCTCACTGCAGTCTCCGCCTCCCGGGTTCAAGCAATTTTTCTGCCTCAGCTTCCCGAGTAGCTGGGATTACAGGTACACACCACCATGCCTGGCTAAATTTTTGCGTTTTAGTAGAGACAGAGTTTCACCGTGTTGCCCAGGCTGGTCATGAACTTCTGAGCTCAGGCAGTCTGCCGGCCTTTCCCTCCCAAAGTCCTGGGATTACTAGTCATATAACATATTAACATGTATTTTATACTTAAAGTATCTTATGTTTAAAAGTTGATTCTAATAAATATTTTATACGGGAACCTAGAATAATAGGGAATAAAGCATGGCCTTTTGATCAGCATGCCTGATTCTGAGTCCTTAAAAAACTCTGCTGAGACGAATTTTCCTCATTTCTAAAACCAGAATAATAGATTTATGTCAGCGTTTTTGTAAGACCCAAATGAAATGTATGTGAAGTGTAAAATGAGATACAGTTAGTAGAATTATTTCATTATGCTCACCATGAGAGGTGTTCTTTAGATCCTGTGGCATCTGGTATGCAGTTCACGTTTGTTTAGAAGAACGTGAGTAACTGGTGCAAACCTCATGTGTTCTTCATCCTCAATGGTCTCCCGCGTCTCCACAAAGCCACTGCTTCCTACAGTGCCTGCTGCTTCTGTGAACCTGCAGGCCCATCCTGCAGAAATGGGGCTTCTCATGAGGTTGAGAATAGCTGTGAAAGTGTTTACATTGAGTGAAGTTGTAGAGTTAATTGTTTATTATTTTTCTTCTTTATTTATCTGGCAGCTCTTGAAGTCCTATTGGCTGGATAATTTTGCAAAAGACTCTGTAAACCCTGGAGTCGTGGTGTTGCTGGGATGTGGTGCCTTATCCAGCACCTGTGGTCAGCTGGCCAGCTACCCATTGGCTTTGGTGAGAACTCGCATGCAGGCTCAAGGTGAGTTTTTGATGACAGAACCACACCAGTAAAACTGCTATACCAGTAACATACTTTGAGAACTCCAAGTTCTACTAAGGCATCGCTTAACCTTTTTCATTATTGCCTTCTTAAGGAATCTTTTCAGAAATTCTTTTTCTAAATACTCCCTCATCGTGAAATGTTCATGTGACAGAAGCATTGCATATATACCGTATGTGTACATATGCCTTATACATAAACAGAGTGCGACTTTTTTTGACTGCGTTACATGCACGTTTTAAGAGTATAAGCTTTGGTATCTGATGGATTTGGGTTCAGATCCTTGACTCAGACTTCTTGGGGTTTTTATTGGGAATGAAAATTGTACAGCGTTGTAAGAATTGCCAACAATATAAATAAAGCCTCTGGCGTTTGTTCAATTCTTGGTAAATAGTGGCTGGAATCATTTTTTAGTGTTGCTTGGATCCTACGAGTTTTGAGCTGCGATTCCTCCTCACTGGGACACTGTCTCCGCTGTTGGCTCTGATTACACTGTACATCTATGTCCTGGTTATTCTGCCAGCCTATTGATAACTTTTACCATTTGCTGGCTTTTATTGCTGTGCCCACTCTATTAAAGCATGAATTCTAGTGCCTTTATTTTCTCTTTATGCTTTCCCTGGTCAGTCTCATCCACTGTTGTTTTTTTAAATAGCACATCTTGGTCATCTACAGCTCCATCCCCAGCCTCCCAGGTGCCACCCACAGCTCCCCCAACCAAGCAGTCATCATTAATTGGTGAATACTCCCTGAGCCATTGTCCTGTTCTAGTCACTGCCAGATGCTAGGGGTAGGGCAGTCAGCAAGTCAGATGTGGCCCTGCCGGTGTAGAGTAGAGAAGACGTATGACCAGCCAGTAAACAGCCTGGTTAAACCAACTCCCCTGTGTTAGAGGAGCACAGACCGAGGGGCTGTAACCTGACTTGGGAGTTGCAGCACGTTGTCCGTGAAGCTGAGACTGGAAAGGTGAGTAGGAGTGAGCTGGGCACAGGACAGGGAGCAGGAAAAGAAACCCTTCCAGCTGAGGGAAAGCGTGTGTGAAGACCCTGAGGTAGGCACCAACGTGGAGTATGTGAGGAGCTAAGAGGCAGTCATGGCTGCAGAGAAAAACACAAGGTAGTGAACTACATGTTTCTTGTGTATGCTCTCATTTCACCATCATAACCATCTTGGGGCTGGGAATACTAATATTATCCCCATTTTTAGGATGAGTAATGGGGCAGAGAGAGATTAATTCCCGCAAGATTATACCTGTGGTTAAATAGTGGGACTATAATTCAGGTGCATGCAGTCTAATTCCAACCCTCCTGTCTGCCAGCCCCAATCCAGACCTTTGCATGGCTGAAAGACTGTCATTTCTGACCTCAAAGTCTGATCATTTTACATCTGTTCAGACATCTTTGCAACCCTTTGGTGTCTTCAAAGTAAATTCCGAAGTTCTTAGTGGGAATTTCAAAGCCTTTAATAATCTGGGCCCACTTTATTCACTATCTGTGTCATAACCAGATGCAACAATCAGCTGTGTCTCTATAGCACATGGTGCCCCTCCCCTTGTCTTGGTTGTGCCATCAACACTGGATTTTGCTTCCTCCTCTTGCTTGTTGAGGTGATTTCCAAGGCCCAGGTCCCTGTGCTTTCCCAGGCTTCCCAGAGCTTCTTCCATACTCCCCTTACTTCCCAAGATTTAACTGTCAGTGTGTGGCTAGTAAGAAGGAGGAGGCAGCAGCGTTATACCAGCTTTGGAGTCAGACAGACCATTGGATCTCAGCCCTAACATTTTCTGCTTAGGTTTTTTAGTACAAATTTCCCCATCTTTCTAAGCCTCCAATTGCTCACTTATAAAATTGGTATAATATTTATCTTGCAGGATTGACATGGAAGGTAATTAACCCAGTATTTAGAACATAGCAATTAATAAATAACTATAGTTACCATCATTATTATAGTTACACACTCACTGTTAGGTGCTGTATAAAGAGAATCGTAAAAGGGTATTTTCTTGGGCTCCTTGGAATACATTTTATTCTTTTATTGTATTCTAGAATATCATTCTGAAACATAATTGTTTATTGTAATAATAATGAAATATGCTTGAATATTAAATTAGGCTGGCCTCTTTTTTTATTTTTTAGCCATGTTAGAAGGTTCCCCACAGCTGAACATGGTGGGCCTCTTTCGACGAATCATTTCCAAAGAAGGAATACCAGGACTTTACAGAGGCATCACCCCAAACTTCATGAAGGTGCTCCCTGCTGTAGGCATCAGTTATGTGGTTTATGAAAATATGAAGCAAACTTTAGGAGTAACCCAGAAATGATGCTGAATTTTCTTTTTGCTTTAGCAAAATTGAAACTTTCAACAATCCCTGGAGTGACTTTTTCTCCTCAAATTGAAACAAGTCTATGGCCAAAGAAACTGTATTTCTTTCACAAAAGGGAAGATGATAACAATGCAACTTTTCAGCTCAATTATATGTACACAGAAATGTTAAAAACATAGTTTTAATACGTTTTGAAAAGGCCACACAATTATACTTTATCTGTTCTTAATAGTCCTTCTGCAAATCTCTGCCCTGAATCCGAAATCTGAAAATGTACTTGCTTAAACAAAATGTGTTTTGTGTGGTTAAGTTATAAATCATTCATCTTTTCTTTGGGCGGTTCACGTTTATGCCACTTCCTTTATACTTAAATGTCTTGTTTTATGTAGTTTGAGTATCTTTATAGATTTCTTTAAATTTCCTTGTAGAACCATTAATAGAAAAATCATTACATTTAAAATATACCTTACAGCCAAAGCATCCTAACAAGTGCAGGGTTTATGTCCTTATTCTTCTTTCAGCTGAATAGGAATGAACACAATGGTAGCATTTCTAAAGAGAAGTGATAAAATTATCTTTACTTCAGTGGGTACTTTTCTATTTTACATGTACCATTATTTGGTTCCTGGAGTTAAACATTAATTTTCAGTATATTACTGTTAAATTGTCAGCACAAGGCAACTTAATTGAAAGATTCTGTTCTGCCATTCCTTTGAAAAGCAGCAGGAAACAAAATCCTTCGACTTATAACGGCTTCTGAAGAGCATCTTTTTTCCTTTGTCCTTTGTTTCCTCCTTTTTAAATCAGATTTCATTTTAATCAGGAAGACTTCTTGGGACCATTCTTAGTAACCTGAAATTTCTTTTTAAATTACGTGAAGTGGGTTGATCATGAGCCAATGACGTGCTTATTTCTCCCTCATTGTTGAATATCTTAGAACCCGCTGTTCTCAATTTGGACAGCATAAAGGTGAGAGGTACATATTAGTAGTACGTATTACTCATGCATTAGATACCTACATTTAAATGAAAGGCCCAATTTGTAAACACATACTTCCATATTCTCTCTTGCTCCAAGTTTTAGGAACATGTTATGATATAGGAGACTTAATTTACAATAATGATAGCATTTTTAAATTTTACTAAAGCCATTTTTATAGTCAACTATCTTTTCTTACTTGTGTGATTAGAACTTAGAAAAATATTTACTAATTGAAGTTATTGTCACTTTGTAATTTAGTTCTTAAAATCATTTGACTTCTAATAATTTCTGTTATAAATTGCCAGCATTTTAATGAAAATCGAATGACGACATAATAGGCAATTTTTGAACCTACCTCTTTTATTTTCTGAACCAAAGAGAAAGATGAATGTTTGTGAAGCATTTTCAAAAATGTAGTTTCATTATATTAGTTATGTTTGATAAATGTCTCAGTATTTTTATAATATGATAAGCCTGGGATTCTACCTTAAGGGTTCTTTGTACTTCTGAATAATATATAAAATGACAATATAAAGGTACATGATCAGCTCTTTGTATTTTTTTTCATAAAAATTATGGAAATGAATAATTTTAGTAACATTTTTGAAATTCCAAACTTCTGGAAAATATGAAAATATTCATTGTTCATTATGAATTTAAATTGTTCCCTATTTAACATTTGTAAGGCGTGAATGTGATTTGTCTGTACATCTTGTATCTTTTCCAAAAAATGATTCTGTATCTTTCGGAAAAAAGCCAAGAGTTGAAGATAGTGTATATCTGGCATTACTGAATATTTTCTTGCAATGTCTATCAAAAATATATATTTGTTTTTAAAATGACTTGTTTTCCAACTTTTATTTTTTTAGAGAAAATTCTTAAGACTCAGTTTCCTAATTTTAAAAAATATATAAATATAGCAAAAATTGCATCCTACAGCATAGATAGCGTAGACCTTTGGCACCAGTTTGATTCATGGGTGGAAGGGACTTGCCTTGACTCAGATGAGACTTTGGACTGTGGACTTTTGGGTTAATGATGAAATGAGTTAAGACTTTGGGGGACTGTTGGAGGCGTGATTGGTTTTGAAATGTGAGAATATGAAATTTGGAGGGGCAGGGTTGGAATGATATGGTTTGGCTGTTTCCCCACCCAAATCTCAACTTGAATTGTATCTCCCAGAATTCCCACATATTGTGGGAAGTACCCAGGGGGAGATAATTGAATCATGGGGGCAGGTCTTTCCTGTGCTATTCTCATGCTAGTGAGTAAGTCTCAGAAGATCTGATGGGCTTGTCAGGGTTTTCAGGTTTTGAGTCTTCCTCATTTTCTCTTGCCGCCACCATGTAAGAAGTGCCTTTCACCCTTCGGCCATGATTCTGATGCCTCCTCTGCCATGTGGAACTCTTAAGTCCAGTGAAACTTGTTTTTCCCCAGTCTCAGGTATTTCTTTATCAGCAGCATGAAAATGAACTGATACGCACCCAGTGTGGGCTGAGATCATAACATTGAATAAAAGACTCAGTACTTCTTATCTAGTGGGGAAGAGACAGACACACTAAGTAAAATATGTAGTGTGTCAGATGGTGCTCAGTGCAGGAGGCAGAGCTGGGGCTGTGGCCAGGGCTGCAGTTTTACATAGATAGATAGAGAAGGCCTTACTGAGGAGGTGCTGTTTGAAGGTAGTGCAGGAGTGCGCTATACTGAGTCTGGGAAGAGCATTCAGGCAGCAGAGGGAAGCAGGTGCAGTGGCTGCAGGAGCGGGGAACCTGAAGGAGGGCCATGTGGCTACAGGGGAGGAAGCCCAGGGAGACAGCAATCCAGGAAGCAGAGGGACCCTGAGGGAGCCACATCATCAGACATTTCTCCATTTCGTACTTTCTAGTGCTGCAAGAGCGGCAGTTTCTTGAGGGTGTTCCCCAAGTAAGATTTGAATGTTTCTCCTCGGAGGATGGTTGTGTCATTGGAAATGATGGAAAATGCCCCAGTTTCCGGGAACTGCCATGTCCATCACAGGTGGACTAGCTTTCCCTACTCCTACCTGCACACATGGGCCCATTCCCCAGGTAGCATGTCTATTGGCTTCTCTCTGCCTCTCCTTCTCCAGGGAGAATTGTAATTTTTTAAAAGGAAATTAACTTAGAAACCTTAAAACCTTTCTAGGTATTTTCCAAGAATTACAGAAGATGTTAATCTAGCAAACTAACAAGGCTACAAGTCATTTTCTTCTCTGATTATCTTGTATCTGTGCAGGGTTTTTTTGTTTCTTTGTTTTTAATTTACGCAAGTTTTACGATGTTGGGAACAATCCTTTTATTTGATTTTTTGTTTTGTGTTCATTGATACGGTCCTGTTTTAAATGCATTTCCACAAAGTCAAGATAACCCTAACAAACAAGTGATTCGTATTTTGTTACTCCAGAAAGAGAGGCTGGTTTGTCCAGGGCTTTAAAAGCTTACTGTACCCTTCGACCTAAGGTTATCACAGACTCCTGGTTTTCCCTAGTCAGTATGAGTTTACACTCATCTCATTACACTGGTTCTACCACCAGTCTCAGCCATGGGCTCAGGATAAAGTGGCCTGAATCGCAGCACCTGTAATCAGTGTCTTCTGTAGCTGTGCATCTTACTGAGACAAACCAGTCTTTGCCATACGGCAGGGGGTCACCACATCAATCTTAGTGCAGCATATAGGATGGTTAAAAAAAAAGTGTGGTATTTCCTTATTTTATTTAAATCAAGTTAAGTCCAGCTCCTTAACCACTCAGTGTTGTGCCAGTGATCTGGGGTGTTGGCCCCTTTGGACACTGGCCACGGTCTACACCAGTCACTTGTGAGACACGCTTTGTTCCAGCCTGCGTAGTCCCTTGGTTCCAGCAGTTGTGCCATGCTTGGAATGGGAACAGTTGGGAAGACATGGAGCATCTGTGTCTGGGGTCTGGGCTTTCTATTCTGAAAGGGTGAGGAGTGGAATGTAAGGAGATCCGCATCTCCCTTAGCCTTGGGACCCAGTAACCTTTGTCTTCTTCCTAACCTCACCTACCTATTTGCTCTTAAAAGTATCCCTCTCCTCTTCCCTCTGGGGCTCCTGTCATCCTCTTTTCAGGTAGCTGTGGTGTTTGCAAAAGACAGAAAAGCATTTGTTCAAAAGTGACTTCTGATTTCTACTTTTAAAAATCACCAGGCGAAGTAAATGCTAAGGGCCTGACTCCTGCCCTGAAATAAGACAAAGGGGAAAATATAGGGAAGTAAATACAAATTAGTAGTTGACTCTGTTGTCTTGCCACAGGCTCTCAAATTCCCTCCTGTTTCCTGGTACTCTGTCTCAGGAGTAAGCCTTGTGCCTTACAGCAGTAGGCTCTGCGCACAGAAGGAGATGGTTGTTTTGTTTGTTTTAACATAAACAGATTATTATACCTATTGAATCTCCAAGTTCCCACAACTATATTGATATGTGGCAATGTAGTTTCACAACCAGACAGTTCAATAAACAGTGTCCAGGTTGAAGAGTCAACTACATAATTAAAATTCAACACTTTTCAGTGGCCTGGGGAGGAGATGGGAAGTATGGGAGAGGGCAAAATTAGTTGGAATGCTGAAAAGAGTGATAAGGTGACTGGGAGTCTCGAGCTGTTTCTAAATGTGTTTTGGTTTTGGATGTGTTCGTGAATCTGAGTGCAAGCTCTTGGGAGACTTGGCTGATAAAGCCGCAAATGCAGAATTAGAGGTAAAATTGATGAGTCAGGTGCTTGAGTTTCTAAGTAGAAGAATCTGGTGGAATTCCACCAGAAGATGAGGAACATGTTTTAAAGCTCGTCCTTTAGTGATCTTTGTTTTTCTCCTGATTTTATTCCCTTCCCACTTTCCTGTTTGTAAAGATGTCCCCCCTTAAGATGTACGGGGAAATGTTCTATAAGGTAATGAAGCTACATTAAGGCAAATAAGTCAATAAATGAGTGAAGACTTTGCTGGAGTTTGAAAATTTAGCTATTTCAGATGTACGTTTTCTTTGACTAGTAAAAGTGTGTGACTGTTGTTTTAGGGGATGCCAACCAGAGATTGTGGGAGACTTTCTTTACTTTGCTTTTGCCAAGCCTTAATAATTCACTTACTCTTTCTATAAGGCAGTGAGAGACATTCATCGGTCAAATGGATTGTTCAACAGTGTTCTATTTTATTCAAATCTTTCTGTTTTTTTCATGGTACCATTGACATCATCAACACTTTTATTGAGTGTAATTGGATTGATTATAATTGATCACAATAAACTGCACATATTTAAATTATTTAAATTCATGAGTTTTGACATATGTATATTCCCATGAACACAAGATGGTGAACTTACCAGTGTGCCTAAGTTTCTGAGTACATTAGGAAACCACTGAGTGCTTTCTGTCACTGTAGATTCATTTTTATTTCACAGAATTTTATGTAAACGTCTAGCTTCTTTCACGCTGCAAAGTTAATCAGAGTTAATCATGCAAAGTTGTCGCATGTCTCGATAGTTCATTCTTCGTTTTGCAGAGCAGTACTCCCTTGCAGGAATATTCCACAGTATGATGCAAGGCCCTGCAGAGAAACTCTACATAGAAAGGGTCTGCGTGGGGCCGGGGTGGTGGCTCATACCTGTAAACCCAGCACTTTGGGAGGCCAAGGTGGGCAGATCATGAGCTCAGGAGATGGAGACCATCCTGGCCAACATGGTGAAACTCTGTCTCTACTAAAAATACAAAAATTAGCTGGGCATGGTGGTGCACACCTGTAATCCCAGCTACTTGGGAGGCTGAGGCATGAGAATCACTTGAACCCGGCCAGCAGAGGTTGCAGTGAGCCGAGATTGTGCCACTGCACTTCAGCCTGGTGACAGAGCGAGACACTGTTTCAAAAAAGTAAAAACAAAAACAAAACCCCAAAAAAGAAAGGGTCTCCATGGAATACTTGATCCCTAATTGGAATAACAGGTCAAGGAAAAACACCAATGAGAAACAAGAGCAAAAGGTGCGAGAAAATTGAAAGGCAGTTAATAACTTCAGGAAAAATTAAAAAGCTCTCATATAAAAGAAATGTGGCCAGATGTGCTGGCTCACACCTATATAATCCCAGCACTTCGAGAAGCTGAGATGGGCAGATCACTTGAAGCTTGGAGTTTGAGATCAGCCTGGGTAACATAGCGAAACCCCATCTGTACAAAAAATACAAAAATTAGCTGGACATGGTGGCCTTTGCCTATAGTCCCAGCTATTGAGGGGAGAGCAACTAAGGTGGGAGGATTGCTGTAGCCTGGGAAGTCAGGCTACAGTGAACTGTGATTGTGCCACTGCACTCCAGACTGGGCAACAGAGTGAGACCCTGCCTCAAAAAAAGGAAAAGGAAATGTAATTATAGTGAATAGTAGCTTGGCAGTGAAAAATACTGCACAGTCACATTATCAGTGTGCTTTCAAAGTCAAACTGTAGGCCTAAATATAGTTGTAGAAGAATGTAAATGAGAAAGCAAATATAATCAGAAGCTGAGCAGTAGGAGAGAGGAGGTGGGGCAAAAAGGGAAGGGCAGGGAAGATGGGGATAGGCACACCTCCCACTTACCTGGGTACCTGACAGGCGGGATGGCTGTAGCAGACACTGGCAATTCCCTGTCCACACACCTGTCCCTGACCACGGCTGCGCAAGGCAGCTCTGTATGCAATTGCCAGCATCTGTTTTGGGGTTCCTCTTGGTGCTGGAGCTCACTTGCTGCCCATGTGACAGGAGCAGCTCTAAACCAGTGGTGCTAAGCTCTGTTTTGCACTGGTTCCCATTTCTACACTGGGTCCTGTGCAGATGTCTATGGTGGTAGCTGGTTTAATGATCTGCCCTCATTGACGGCCTTCCCCTCATCTTACTTTCTCATCCTGTCCTTGAATCTTTCATTTCAGGGTCTGCTTCTGAAAGAACCCAAACTAAGGCAGTCAGTCCACTACAAACAGATCTGGAAATAGCAGCGGAGCATTTTACTTAGAGATTATGGAGGAAAATACCAAAAGAGGCAGCTAATGTTACCTCTAGGGACCAAGACTAGAGGTGGGAAGGGGCAGAACAGGAGACCATGCTTTTAAATACATGCACGGCATGTGCTACTTTCATATAATTAAAAACAATCACTTAAAACATAAAGCAGGCAAGCCGTGGTGGCTCATTTCTGTAATCCCAGTACTTTGGGAGGTCCAGGCAGGCGGATCACATGAAGTCAGGAGTTCGAGACCAGCCTGACCAACATGGTGAAACTCCATCTCTACTAAAAATACAAAAATTAGCTGGGCATGGTAACAAGCGCCTGTAGTCCCAGCTAATAGGGAGGCTGAGACAGGAGAATTGCTTGAACCCAGTACGGGGAGGTTGCAGTAAGCCGAGATTGTGCCACTGCACTCCAACCTGGGTGACAGAGCGAGAGTCCATCTCAAAAAATAAAAAATAAATAAATAAAAAAGCAAACTGGAACCGTGTAACAAATCAAAAGGAGAGAGCGTGAATATATCTGAGCAACCTGGTCTGGGGTGTACCTTCCAACCCCCCTTAATGTTGTTACCTGAATATGTCAATCATTGTCAAAAGACAAGCATACACTGAAATCGATTATTGCATGGGTCTGAACAGATGGAAAATATTCTCTGTACAGCAATTTAAAAAGTATAACGTTAATCACTGTGATAGGGAGTAAGTGTACTTCCCATCCTGTGATTTTAGCATTGTGTAGGAAAAATCATGCAGAATACACTTACGACCCCCGTAGAAATGGGATGAGGTTTACCAACTAAAACACTTAGCACTTCACCTGGCACTACTTATGAAGAAGTACTTTGTATAGGACACTATGTGTAGTTTCTATATAAAAAGGAGCATTCTGTGTTTTGGGTTTGAATGTTGCTTATTGTTGTTGAGTATTCTGCTAGTCCACCCTGTCCCCGATGGAAGCTATGCCCCATTAAGGATCAGAAATGCTTGGTGCTCAAAGCGGTCCTGGGAAACCACTATTGAAAGTCACTGTCAGTGCCCTCCATATTCCACGAGATGGCAGACTTCCCCCAGCTCTGTGGACAGCAGGGACCCAGGAGATGAGTGCGGAGCTTCAGAGCTTTGCTTTCTCCCTTTCCCTTGACCTGGAAAATCACTGGGCTGCCTCTGAGGCCAGATTTAGATTTCCTGCACAAACCATCATTACCTTGTTTAAAGGAGTGAAATTAGGGTTGACCTGTTACCATTCCAGGACAGGTGACAAAGAAAATCCTTTATGTGTAGCACTGAAGAGAAGAGCTTGTTCTTATTTTTAAAGACATTTTCCAAAAATAGAAAAATTCTGTTTTGCAAGTCAAAAAAGAAATGATTGAAAAGCATGTATCACTGTTCATATACAGAGTCATAGGTTCAGATACAAAAATCGTGACCATAAAACATATTTTTGGATATTTGTTTTCATAGTATGATGAATATTTTTTGTTTGCTTAAAATAATTTCAGAAGTGTAGTCATAATTCAAGCTTGAGATACAAGAGTGGTAAAATAAGAACAAAAATAAACAAGTAATAAAATGCACCACAAAATTTCTCTGACTCCATTCCCTTTCAGGGATTTCTTTTTTTACAGGAGTTATTTTTATGGATTTGTGTGACACTCTGGCTGACACGTTTTAAAATAAATAAACTTTGGGTTTCGGATGAGCACAGTTTGCACGGCTGCCTTCCTGGACAATACGCATCGGGGGAGGAGTTAACAGGAAGATGGGGCAACCCAACCTTTGTTTTTGGATTAATCAGGAATGTCCTTCAATGCTAGTGAACAGGTGGAAATAGAGAAAAATCGGAATCAGGATGTGGAAGAGAAAAATCTGGGTTCTGCTGTGGTGATGTGGGCGACCTTTTATAATGTGCCAGCTGCCTGTTCTCCCAGCTCTCTCCTGGCAACAGGAACTGAGAAGAGGCGCCCCTTGCTGCCGGCCCATGGGTGCCTCACTCCCCAGTCCTTTCACCCCACACTGTGAGCTGCTTTTAGAGATCTTTCTTTACCTCCCAATTGTCTCTTTCTCCCCCGCTTGTTAACTTATGAATAAACTGTGACGTCATTACCCCTCATGAAAGTACCACAGTCTGAATGCCTCCGGAGGAAAAGTACTAGAAAATTTAAAAAGAAAATTAAGGTGATAAAACTGGCCTCGTTAATCTGTTAAACTCCTTCAGCACTGCCAGAAAAGGAAATAAGCTTTTCAGCTAATTTTCCCCAAAATTCACAGAAAAAAACACTGTGCTTGAAAAGAAAACACAGTGGGCCAGGTGCAGTGACTATAACCTTAGCACTTTAGAAGGCCATGGCAAGAATACTGCTTGAACCTGGGAGTTCAAGACCAGCCTGGGCAACATAGTGAGACCTTATCTCTACAAAAAATGAACGAAATTAACCAGGTGTGGTGGTGCAGCCTGTAGCCCCAGCTACTTGGGAGGCAGAGGCAGAGGATCACTTGAGCCCAGGAGGTTGAGGTTACAACGAGTTGAGATCGCACCATTGCACTCCAGCCTGGGCAACAGAGTGAGACCCTGTCCCCTCCCCACAAAAAGGGAAGAAAAACACAGATAATATAAGATGGAACTGAGATAGTGACAGTCTCCCCATTATTTTAGGCAGTGCTGGGATTTTTTCACTAAATGATCAATATTTAAAACTAAAATATTTTTATTAAAATGAGAAATAAAAGATTATAAAAGTAAAGATTAAAATTATAAGACACTGATTCAAAGAGAGTCATGTACTCTCCCAGTTTTAATTGCAAGATGTTCCATGACTTATGATGGGGTCATGCCACATCCCAGTAAGCTCATTGTAAGTCGAAAATACCATGAGCCAAAAATGCATTTAACACCCCAATAAACCAATCGTAAAGCTGAAAAATCACAATCAAACCGTCACTAAGTTGGGGACTGTCTGTATTGTTTAACTTTTCGGTCTATTGATTTTAGTGTGTGATACCAAAATCTACTTGACATTTAAACACTGATTAACACTAATGATTTTCACTGGGTCTTTCTTAAGCCTTAGCACAGCTGCTTAAAAACTTGGCAGCAGATTAGAACCACCTGGGTGGGGGCTGGGGTTAGCTTTTAACTCTCTCAGGTCATATCCCAGACCAATTAAAGCAGAATCTCTGGGGAGGGACACAGGCACCAGTATTTTTAAAAGTCCCCCAGGTGATTCCAGCGGCTGCCAAGGTTGAGAACCACTGTAATCTGGCTTCATTCTGACCACTGCCTACACATGATGTTATGAATGGTTGGGATTAAAGGACTATAAATAAAAGGACAGTGTTTTCCAGTGCCCTCCCAGGTGGAGGAGGTCAGGGGGGAGCAATGATGGGATTTATTGACCAATTAGATAGAGATTTAAGAGAAGCTGTTAGGCTGAGGCAGGCAGATCACTTGAGGTCATGAGTTCGAGGCCAGCCTGGCCAACATGGTAACACCCCTATCTCTACTAAAAATACAAAATTTAGCCAGGCATGGTGGTGGGTGTCTGTAATCCCAGCTACTCTGGAGGCTGAGGCAGGAGAATTGCTTGAACTTGGGAGGCAGGGGTTGTAGTGAGCCAAGATAGTGTCACTGCACTCCAGCCTGGGCGACAGAGCAAGACTCTGTCTAAAAAAATTAAAAATAAATTTAAAAAGCTGAATGATGAAGTTGTTTTTGAGATGGGAAGGTGGCATGAATAACAAGGTGGGCAGAGTGGGAAATGGAGAATTGGGTTTTGGGCACATGACAGTTAAGATGCTCATGAAATGCAGGTAGAAAGGTCAATAGGCAGTTCTGGACCCAGGGAGGGAGCCAGGCTAGTAGACACACACATTTGACAATCATCGGCATTTGGATGGTGTTGAAAGCCACACGGTCAGATGATTCTTTAAGGAGAGGGGATAGATAAGGAGGGGATGAAGGCTGGCCCCTCTAGGAAGCGGCCAGAGAGCCGAGGAGGGAGCTGTGAAGGTGCTGAGAAGCAGCGGCCAGCAAGGCGGGAGGAAAACATGGGGAATGGGACGGGCTGGGGCCACATCAAGTAAGAACTCAGCCTGCCTCGTACTCCTCCCAACTCACCAGGGGAAGGGGAGGAGGAAAAGAAGCAGGTGGCTCCACCGCACTGGATTTTCTCCAGCAGCACTGATACTGTCCGAGGTGTGAGCGCAAACCCAAGCACCTGATTGACCCAGAGCGGAACTGAGTAAGTGCTGAGAGCAGAGGGGAGGGAGACTCAGGGCGCTAGGGGCGGGCGGCTCTGGTTAGGGCCACTGACTCCGAGTTAGGGTAAAGGAGGCGGTGGAGGCAAAAGAAGTGTGCAGGTCGATGGACAGGGGGTCTCAAGGAATTTGAACGAAGGGCTGGGAATGACTGGCAAACACATTGGAAGGGGAGCTGTGGGTAAGACAGATTTTGAATCATAAAGCTGACAGGAAACAGTTTGGGGTGAGGACAATTTCTAGTGACCAGCTACCTTTAAGTCTTTAAGGGATGAGGGTGAGCAGCACGGGGAAAGTGACAACAAGGGGTGGGTAAGCGGTCAAGCACAGGACCAGGCGGAACAGGGGTTTCACAGGCCGGTCTGTGGTGGTGGGTGGGGCGGAATCGTGAGGGAGAGGAGGGGACTGTGAGAGGCACCATAGCCGGCCTGCTGCTCTGTGGCGGGCCAGGGTGTCCTTCTCGGAGGCCCAGGTTCAGTAGGAAGGGAGGCGGAGAGGAGGCACCCGGGCGAGGGGTGGGCAGAGCTTTCTGATGCAGAGATTAGAGGGACGCTGAGAAAGGAGGGCCGGGGGAAGACAGGCACCAGGCCTGTAGCCCCAGCTGCTCTCGGGAGGCTGAGGTGGGAGAGCCTCTTGAGCCCAGGAGTTAGAATCCAGCCTGGGTAACCTAATGAGACCCCATCTCTAAAACCCAAGAAAAGCCAGGTGTGAGCTGGTGCGGGTGCCCCACCAGTGCCCTCCCCTTCCTGAGGCTCCTGTTCCTGGCTGTTTTCCGAGGGGCAGGCCCGGCCTCCGGCTGCACTGGGAGAGCTCAGGGCAGATCTGCAGGCCCCATGTTGTCGGGACGCCAAGGGTGCTGGTCACTAAGTCCCAATGGAGTCATCACCCGTGTTACTAAGCAAGTGTGGGGCCTGCGGCACAAGCCCCAAGCGGGAGCGAGGAGACGCTGGAAAGCCGAGTGGGAGAGGGAGCTGGAAGGGCCACCTGCGCGGGACTGGGAGCATCCTGGAGGGGGGCATTGGCCTGCGTTTTTTTGTGCGGTGATTTTTTTCAATTCCGTCCCAGTGAAGCCCGGGGTGAGCGGGCGTGGTGCATCTAAAAGGGCAGGAATAGGATGAGCAGAAGGCAGGGTTTCCCAAGAGGGCTCTGCAGTAATTACCTCAACAGGGACAAGATTGGAAATACAAAGAGGAAACTAAACATTGTAAAATATAGAGGCTGTGCTTTTGAATCAAGAATAGGCAATTAGCCTGTTGCGTTATGTAATATCTCATTCATTAGTCATTGAATTACCTCTGGCTGCATGTACTGTTTCCCTGAAGTTAATTTTTATTCCATTATGAAGGAATAAATCAAATCCAGTGAAAGGAAATCCGACCTCTTTGCTGTCTACAGGAGGAAGGCCTTGAACCAAGTCTTTTTGTGGTTTAATATTTTCAGTTTCAACTTAATAAAGAGGAGCCTCAGGGATGAGAAAAGAGGTCAGGTTTTGTCTTTTCCACTTGAAGTACATAAATAGAATAGAAAGAAGTAATGATATGTAGCCAATTGTAAAGAACATGAAATCAACCCAGAAAATATGAAATGTTGATGGGGATACACAAGCACCCAGCATTCATGGTACCACTGAGAATAGAGTAATTAATTCACAAAGTTCTTGTGGATGCCTGCGAACCTTCTAGCAGAGCCTCTGCTAGGCGGGAGGCTTGTACAAAGGTAAACAATATGCTATTTTGTTCTCAGAGTTCACAGTCTGCTGGGAAGGCTGACGTGAGAAAACAATTCAATACAAAGCGCTAAGTGCTGTAGCAAAAGTTTGTTCGTTGAGCTGAGAGAACAATGCGCAGGGTGATCCACAAAGTGTGAGAGGCGAGATGAAATTCTTGCTGTGTTTGGAGGATGAGGAGAATTTTTCCACACAAAGAAGATAAACGAAGCATGTTCTGGAGAAAGGAGACAGCGTATGTAAAGGTATAGAGGCGGGCAGGATAGATACATCTGGGGTAGTTGCAAAGGTGTTCCGAGAGGCTGGAGTGCTCCCTGGGGAGAGTGGCAAGAGCTTTGGTTGGAAAGTTAGGTTAGTACCGGTTATATGCCATGCTGAGGCACTGGGTTTGATAAGAGAACCCCTGGAGGGTTTAATCAAAGGGGCATGCAGGCTCAGCGGCATCTTTCCATAAGGTCGATGGGTTAGAGAGGAGCGGACAGAAGGCAGTGCGGACGGAAGGCAGAGGCTAAGTCCTTATCTCCCATGTCTGTATCCCCATGTCTTGTGTGCATTATATGGCATATGATTGGTACTTGATAAATATTTGTTGGATGAATAACTTAATGAAGGAAAATGAGATTTCTGATTTAGGGTGGTGGATGCATGGTTTTGGGAGGAACTACATCTGGGAGAGTCGTGCCTCTCTTCTGCTCCTGCCGGATTTGTCAACCCATGCCTCATGGCCCCACCGGCTCCTAAAAGTGAAGTGTCAATTGGGGAGACTAGGAAGGAAAGAAACACCAAGGAGCTGATATCACAGGGGTTAGGGGATGAGTGTTTCAAAAAGGAAGGAGTGGTCAACACCGTCCCATGCAGGACAGATGTCCAAAAAGAACAAGGTCCTTGAGTTGTGCCAGGTCTGAGGCTTCAGTGAGAACAGTCTGGTTAGAGGCAGCTACAGACTGCAGACTGCGGATGGCAGTAAGCTGAGGGATGAATGGGAGGGAAGGAAGAGGGGTTTGGGAGGGTAGACATTTTCTCCAAAAGCTCAGCTTGAAGGGAAGAGGCGGTGGAGGCAGCCTGAGAGGGAGGCATGATCAAAGGGATGCTTTTTTTCCTTTTTAAGGGTGGTAGGCTTATGAATTTGAGAAAAAACAGTAGAGCGAAGAGGTTAAATTCACTAGGGAGAGATGGAATAAGACAGATGAGCTCAAATATGGATAATGACAATTCAGATATAGTTTTTAGTTGGAAGTTTGAAATCTGATTTTTCAAAAAATGAGTACGTGGCAGCTAAGAAAGCAGTAAGGGGTGGAGGGGAGAATGCTGGACTGAAAGGAGGAAACCTGGGTCCTGGGTCCTGGGCCCTGCACTTTTCCTGACCAACTGGGAGTGTCACCAAGCTGTCAGTCTGCTCTGTGACATCATTGTTTCACCTCTCAAACAAGCCAAGTTCTCTGGAATGATTTCCTTCAGCAATAGAATTACATGATTCAAAATATTGTAAGTTTAGCAATGTCTACATTTGGAGATAAGACTTCCCAAAGTACGGGTTGCTTCCATCCTAACTTAGCTACTTCGTTTTTTGGAATTCTTGCTCTATTTGTATTATCTTAAAGAAGAAATGAAATAGTACATGAGAAAGAACTTTGGAGACTGAAGAAGTGAAACAGTATGAAAGTCACATTTCTGGTTACTAATAATCATGCTAATATTCTTGACCTAGAGAGCTTACATGTTTTTCCTATTTTGTATATATTACCCCTGAGTAAAAAGTCTTAGCAAAAGGACAACCAAAATTAAATTAGCTCCTCTTCTAAAGCTTTTAGATGCCCCAATACAAACCTCTCATGGATAGGAAACTAATCACTTCCCTGTGGATAGTGAAGTTATGGTTCGCATAATTATTTTTTCATGATTTAATTGAAAATATTAAAGATTAAATACACCGATACTAGGGACTCTAATACAGGATTACATATTTCCATCCTTTGTGTCTGCAGCACTTGTGGCCTGTAAGGTTTAAATAGAAATGCTTGTGAAACATTATGAGTCAGATGTGGGGCTGGGCCATTCTTGGGCATATTTAAAGCACATGATCAGTTGCCGGTGGATGCAATTTTCCAGGGTTCCGTGGAGAGATAGCAGTTGCCTTTCCCCACCACTAGCTGCTTCCTAATCCTTCCCATCAGATTACCCTGCAGGATCTGGCAATCACACCAACCGTTCACACCCTCAGGCCTGGCAGCACAGGAACTGTCTGGCTTGTTATTACATCGGTCTTGGGAACCCACCCACTGCACAGCTCTCTCCTGAACTCTCTGTTTTAGAGGCACAACCAGCTGCACCAGCTGGAAGCCTGCTGGCCATCCTCAGCTCCTGCTTTTCTTTCTTCCCCCATGTCCCATGCATCATCTATTACTTTGGATTTTACCACCTACATGCCTTTCTTCTGTGTCTCCTTGCTCTTGCTGTGTTCATCAGCCGCCTTCTCCGATTTCTGTTTCTAAGCCTACTTCCTTCATATCCACACACTGTTGCCAGCATGAAGTTCTGGTATTCAAAGTTCCTCCTGTTTTGGCCTCAGAGGCTTCTGGAGTCTGGTCATCCCTTCTGCTTTCACATCTGTTAATAGATCCCCACAAACCATGGTGGCTCTGTTTTTGCCTAAACTGCCCTTGTACGTGGCTTTTCCTAACACTGGGACATCTGTTCATGGTTAATGTCAGCTTCCCTTTGAAGCCTTCCTAGTCCAGTTTCTCCAACCCACTGAAGAAGGAATCGATAGTTTCTTTGTTCTACTCCTCTTGTTGCATATATTGGAGGTTCTACATCATATTTAGAGGTTTAGTTTTATCTATCATCACAATTAGACTCTGAGCTTTTTAAAAGCAGGGGACTAGGTCCTACTCGTCTTTGTATCTTAATTTCTAGTATGTAATAGGCACTCAATACATGCATATTAAATGGTGCTGAATTTTGCTTTATGTTTTCCTTCATTAACTTTTTCATTTTTATTTTCACCAATGCATTTCTTAGAACAGAGAGCTTTTTACACATACATATCCTAATACTAATACTAATATTACTACTACTAATGATTACTTTTGCATATTATGTGCTTCCAAAATGCCAAGCACCATTCCAAGAATTTTACATACATTATTCCTTTTATTCCTTACAACAGCCAGGTGAGTGGGACGTGATTGCTCTTATCTTATCTACCTGAAGAAACTTAATCTCAGAGGTGATGCGACTGGACGAAGGTCCCACAGC